TCAAGAGGATCTCAAAAGGTATATCACCAAGTACTGCAAATCTCTATCCGGGGCGCCGGATGAAGGGAATGTCACCCTTGATGAGACCCGGACAGATGATATTCCACAAGTCATGGTAGAAGAGAACGATATCCTCATGGCAACTTTCTCAGAAGAGGTGGTGAGAGCGGTTGTGTTCCAAATGGAACATAATAAAGCTCTAGGCCCTGATGGTCTCCCCGCACAATTCTATCAAATTTTTTGGGATATCATCAAGACTGACCTTTTGGAGTCGTTCAATTGTCTTCATGATGACCGGCTTGACCTATTCAGGCTGAATTTTGTCGAGATTGCCTTGTTGCCGAAGATTAAGGAGGCCGAATGGATCAAACAGTTCAGACCCATATGCCTCCTTAATGTCAGCTTCAAGATTTTCACCAAAGTGGCTACGAATAGGTTAAACACGATAGCTGACCATGTTGTCCAGCCATCTCAAACGGTGTTCATGCATGGAAGGAATATACTCAATGGTGTAGTAGTCCTGCATGAGACCGTCCATGAGATGCACCGAAAAAACATGAGTGGAGTGGTATTCAAAATTGACTTTGTAAAAGCCTATGACCAGGTTAATGGTCCTTCCTCCAAAATGCCCTAAGAATGAAAGGTTTCTCAGAGAAATGGCGCCAGTGGATCCAATATTTTGTAACTGGAGGTAGTGTTGCCATCAAAGTAGGCCATTACTTCCAGAGAAAAAAAGGCCTACGGCAAGGTGACTCCATGTCCCCAATGTTATTTAACATTGTTGCTGACATGTTGGCTATTCTGATTGAACACGCAATGCAGGGCGCCAGATTGCAGGAGTAGTGCCACACCTTGTGGATGGTGGCCTCTCTATTTTGCAATACACCGACAACACAATTCTTTTTATGGAACATGATTTGGACAAGGCTCGAAACCTGAAACTCTTGCTTTCAGCGTTTGAGCAAATGTCGGGTCTCAAAATAAACTTCCATAAAAGTGAATTGTTCTGCTTTGTCGAAGCCGTTTAGGCGGAGGCCGATTATGCTGGCCTTTTTGGTTGCCCACATGGCCAATTCCCGATTAAATATCTGGGAATACCGATTCATTATCGACGCCTCACCATTGCGGAGTGGAAGCATGTAGAGGAGCGTCTAGAGAAAAGGTTGAGCAGTTGGAAAAGGCAAACTGCTCTCAGTTGGGGGACGGTTGGTTTTGGTTAACTCTGTCCTCACAAATATGGTTCTCTATATGCTTTCTTTCTTCCAACTCCCAAAAGGTGTCCTACAAAGATTAGACTATTTTAGATCCAGATTCTTTTGGCAACGAGGCGGTGAAAAGGAAAAATACAGGCTGACCAACTGGAGCATGGTTTGTAGGCCGAAAGACCAAGGTGGCTTTGGAATTCATGACCTGCAGGTCAAGAATGAGGCTCTACTCAGTAAACGGTTATTCAAACTTCTTACTGAGGATGGTGTTTGGCAAACCATGCCGCGCAACAAGTATCTAGGCCAAAAGGCGGTGGCCCAGGCATTTTGGAAACCCGGCGACTCACACTTTTGGGTTGGCCTAATGGAGACAAAGAAACATCTCTTTCTCTTTGGGTCTTTCGCGATAAAGGACGGGTCGGAGATTTGTTTTTGGGAAGACAAATGGATAGGCAATGCCAGTCTCCGAGAACAATATCCAGCCTTATACAACATTGCTCGCAATAAGAATAATACTATTGCGCAAGTGCTCAATTCATCCCCACTGAATATTTCGCTCAGGCGGGATTTGATTGGCCCTTGACTTGTGTCATGGCATAACCTTTTATCGAGGTTGGATTCGATTACCTGACACAAGGGTGGGATGTGTTTCGCTGGAACCTTACTACATCTGGGTCTTTCACTGTAGACTCTATGTACCGTGCGCTCACATATTCTGAGGTACCAATCAGTAATAACAAGAAAATTTGGAAGTCCAAGAATCCACTAAAAGTGAATTTTTTCATGTGGTATCTTCGTAGGGGAGTTGTGTTAACTAAAGACAACCTCGCACAACGTAACTTGCAAGGAAGTAAGAACTGTTGTTTTTGTACTCATGACGAGACAATCAATCACCTCTTTTTTCAATGCAAGTTTACACGTTCTACGTGGTCAGTCATCCAAATAGCGTCAAATTTGCATCCACCCATAAGTGTTGACAATATTTTTGATCATTGGTTCGACGGTATTCCAAATAGTTTCAAAACCCTAATAAGGGTGGGAGCGCATGGCTTAATTTGGTCGCTTTGGCTATGTAGAAATGATTTGATTTTCAATGAAAAAAATGCTTCTTCTTTGCAGGTTATTTTCCGGTGTACGCACTCGCTACATACGTGGTGTATTCTACAACGACTGGAGTAACAACCGTTGTTCAAGGCGGTGTGTACGCGACTGGAGTAGGTGGCTATGAAGGTTTTTCCCCGACATGGGTGACAGCATAACCTTCGGATCGACCCACCACCTTCTTCGACATAGGCATAATGTCGGTCTATAGGACTCTATTGTTGCCGATTTATTGGTTTTTATTTGATAATCTTTTGTCGGACTTTCAAATTTGGCTGTGTGCATTTTAATTATGCAGAGACCGGGTGTTACTCATAATGTTTTGTATCCGCTTAATGCTACATTTAAGATAATAAAACCGCCCTTTATCGAAAAAGGGGAGAATGTTGAATAAAACCAGCCGCAGCTAGATTTGCTTGCCAAGGCAGCGCTTTTGGCGTCCCGTTTAGTTTGTTTTCTGTTAGCGTTTTTTCAGCTCATGGGCATTGTTTTGGTCTGAATCTTGTGCGTACCATGATTTGTTCGCGAAACAATGTGGACCGTGGCATTGCAGGTTTGCTTGTAGTCCAAATAAATAGAGAGGGAGAAATAAAAAAAGTTTCAGAGCTGATATTGGCGCTCGCATTTTATTGGATTTATTTCAGACCGATGTGCGTTTAGCGGGAGGAGACATTCCCATCAATTATGAAGGCGTTTGTGTCGACTTCGTCAATCTCAAGATAATGTGTCGGTTTAGTATCTTGGAGCTGCTCATAGGGATATGATGTGTGTGTGTGTGTGTGTTCGTTCATACGGGTAAGTGTATACTCGTGTATGTGAGCGACTTTGATGCTACCGTGTTAAAAAAACAAAAAAATGGAAGAGAATATTTGTACCAGACCTACCCCGTCCCCCGCCTCCCGCTCGCCTTCCCTGGCGGCGACGAGGGAACCCAGATCCGGCGGCCGCACACCCTCCCCACCTCCCTCCCCACCTCGCCGCCACAGGAGGAACGGCCGCCGAAGCCCGCGCCGGCTCCCGGGATGGTGGCGGCGGGGCGACTTGGTTGGATCCAGCCCTCCCCTCCAATCCCCGCGAGCATGCTGCGCCCTGGCGCCTCGGCGCGACCCAGATCCCGAGGGCAGCTGCGCTCCACAACCGTATTGCCCTTCGCCCCCGCCCCCCGCGCGCGTGATGCGGTTATGGCACCTCGCCGCGGCTTGGATCCCGACGGCGGCTACTCGGCGAAGGCCTTGCTCCTCTCCCGCGGTGGTGCTGCTCCGGCTGGGTGGCGCCCCCGCTGGCTCCTTGGTGGTGTCCACAGTGTGCGCGGGAGGCTACGGTAGTCGGACCTGCGCTCTCCAGGTCCCCCGGCTCGTCATCGTCCTCTGCTAGCGCGGCTCCGGATCTGGTGCTCCGAAGGCCGTGTTTCTCTCCGGCTTCTTCGGTTCATTGGTCCTCGCCGTTGCTGCTCCGGCCCCGGCAGTCCAAGACCTGCGCTTTTCAGTGTCTTTGGCTTGCCCGCACACTGCTCATGCGGCTCCGCCCTCGGCGCCCTCGTTGGCCGCGTCCCTTCTAGCCTTGTCGGCTTGCTGGCGTCCGGACGGATCCGTCCCGGTGGTCCAGATCTGTATTCCTTCCAGATCCTGGTCTACTTGTGGCGCCACCATCCTATGTCGGCCCCCATCGCCTCCCCAACCCCGTCCACCTCCTTGCCTCGTCAACTTGTCATTTTCAAAGCTCGCGTGTTCGCAGCTCTCCTCCATGTGGTGGCAGCTCCAATCTACATGTTGAGTTCCTCGTCTTCTGATCTCAAACTGGCTGATGTGGGATTGCTCAGACTCGGCCAGGGTGAAATCCTCGCTCGGCTTGCCGATGCTGGCAGCAGCGACACTCGCGAGTGTCGTCACCTTCTTGAAGGCGTTGTCATGGCTTCTATCTGTGCCCCTTCGAGCATCGGGGGAAACCCCAGGTCCGGCTCACCGGATCGGACAGCGACGACGCCATAACGTTGTTTCCCTTCTCGAAGGCGTTGTCTTATTTGTTCGGCGTCCCCGATGTTGGATTTCAACTTATGGAAATGATCATGTCGGTTCGGACGGCATCTCATGGCGTAGGCACCTTAGGCGCTATGTACGTCATCATCGGCGCTTCTCCCACTGTTTCCGTCCTTGGCCCGGCCGGGTCCTGCCGCCCACTAGCTGATCTCTTGGCGCTCTAGGTGAGAGTACGTTGATCCTGTCGTGTTTGGGGCTGCAATCGTGCGGATGTGGTGCCTCGTGTTAGCCGTGACGCGGTGTGGGTGTCTTGAGCCCTGTGTCTCCTTGCCTTTTGTGGACGGAGGCCGGGCTAGGTGGGTTTAGCTACGTGTGTCCTCTATTTGGGCTGAGCATCCCTCTTTTATTAGCTTCAGGTATCATACTCGCGCCTTCTTGCGTTCGTGTAGTGTGTTGTATCATCTTTGTACTTTCTCTATTGTCCTCTATCAATGAAAAATTTGCATATTCGTGAAAAAAAATATTCGTACCAAGCGGTCAGCTTGCAAGCTACTCCCAACAAAAAAATTGAAAGAAAACATTCTTTGGATAATGCGGGTACGGACAGCGCGTTTAGAGAAGAAAACAAGCAACTGTCAAAAAGTCACCGTACTCAGTCAATTATGAACCACCCGCACTTGTTACATGGACGAACCGGTCGGCTGCGCGACAAGGAAGCTCAGCTGCGTGGCCGGCTGGTGACGGTAGCAATGCGGGCGGGGTTGAGCTCAAACCAGACCTGGCGGAACACCTTGACGATGCAGTCGTGGTGCTCCTCGGCGTTTAGCGCCAGGTAGCACGCCAGGAGCGTCTCCAGCTCCTCCGGCCGCCCAATGCGCTTGCTCGTTATCATCTCCACCATCGAGTTGCGGAACTCCCGCTGCGGGTCGCTCGTCCGCCGCACCACCGCGAACCTCTCAAGCCCCGACACGGCCGCCACGGTGCACCGCGGCGAACGGACGCGCACCGCTGCCAGCCTCGCGCCCGGCGTAGTCCTTCCGGAGAAGGACCGCCGCCCGCTTCCTCGGCGTCGGCGCTGGTGGCTCCGAGGCCGCTTTTCTTCGTCCGTGTCGGACGGCAGCGTCAGCACCGGGGTCGGCGCCGTCGCCAGCACACACTGCGGCGAGGAAGCAGCGCGGGAGAACGCGCTGAGGTGGCTGAGCGGCGGGAGATCGCGATCGCCCCCGACGGAGTAGTGGCGTCGGCGGGAGAGCTGGCGCGCGGCCGTGGCCTCAGCCTCGGCGTCATCGTTGCCGACGGAGAGACGACGCGGCACGATATCGGCGGCTGCGGGTGACAAAGTATCTGGCGGGCTGCTCCGCGATGCCGGGCTCGGGGTCGCGCCCTCGTGGAAGCCGCCGCCGGAGCTCTTGGCCTCAGGCGCGGCATGCTTCTTGGGCTTAGAGGAAGCAGCGGCATTGTGCTTAGCCGTGAGCTTGGAGAACCATGTGAGCGGCGAGAAGGCCGCCTTGCCCTTGCCGCTCTTGCTCTCTTCATGCGCCTGGTCTTGTGGCAGCAGCTGCTGCTGCTTAGTTTTCAGCCCCCACCACCTCATGGCTATGGTTTCTCTCTCAGTGTTATGTGAGCTTGTAGTGTGAGGAGAGAAGAGTCCGGCGCTATGGGAGGTATTTAAAGCGGGGGGTTTTGGCGGCCAAGCTACGGGTATGATGTTTGAAAGTTCAAAGCTGGGGGCCAAAGTTTTAATAAGCCGTCACTTTTCTTTTGCATGCATGCACCGTGCATTTTGGCTGATTGATTAGCGTGATTGACGCTAATGTTTAGTACTACTCCACTGTAGTTGTAGTACATCACGTTTGGCGTGTCCCTCGCGGACTTCGAAAGCTACAGTAGTGCAGCCTTTGGCGACATGCAAGCAGTACACAGCCCTGCTGTATGACTTTTGTTGTGATTACCCAGGTCTTGATAGTCTTTATCTGCAGATTATGACGAGGAGATCGATTTGGATGTTGTCAACAACACCGGCTTAGCTCTGGCATGAGGGACAACGGGACATGGCTCGGCGTGGAGCAGGACAGGAGGAGTGCAACTTTGGGAACAGAAAGTGAGACGAAACCAAAGGGAATCACCGATCGAGGAGGCGAGGGGAGGCCGGCAGGCGTGATCCCGGCCCTGGCTGCCGTCCGGGCGAAACTCCTGAGACCCCATTCTACGAGGCCACGACGCAAACTCGCCTCTCGTCTTTGCGTGCGTGCGTGCCCTGCCTTTCCATTCCTTTTCCCCGTGAGAGGAGAGAGCAGCGGGGGCAGAGGTGCAGAAGCTGCAGACACGCGCGCTGCCGATTGCGCGAAAAGGGTGGCACCCTGGTTGTTGGTGATTGGGTGGGGCCTGTGCCTGGCGTGCCGGCTTTTGCTCCCTTTCCTGCGCTGCAAATGTTGCATGCCTACGGGCTACGGCTAGGGTTCTTGGTTGTTGCATCCTCTGAGCTGAGCAGTGTGAGTGTCTGGCCTCTTTGTTCGAACAAAGTCCGCGCCACCGCCTTTTTAACGACGTCCGGCCGGACCTGTATCCTGTTTTGCTATAATTACCTTTGGACATGATAAGTGTTACAGGTCACGTACTAGCACGTTCCGAACGTTTCTATGGCAAGTTTAGTGACGCGACATTACAACTAGCGTGTTTTACTTTATTTTTGACAGAAACTTATTGTGTCACTGAAATTTGCCATCCTTACGTGACTGAAATTGCGATAAAAACGTCAGGACCGGAATGCTATGCACCTAGCGTGTGACACTTATCATTTGAGTTCCTTTTTCGTTCGCTCATGGATGCGAGGATGGTGAAAAATCACAAAACTGACCCTTTGGCCAAAGTTCAGCACAAAATGGCTCTCTTTTGAAAATATTTCATAAAATGGCCCTACACGCATGACGCCCGCACCCGGGGCGCCATGCTAGATATCATAACGCCCCGGTCAAGGGCGCCATACTGGTCAGCGCTAACTTGCCACGTTGGCAGGGCTTGCCACCATGGCGCCCCAGGCCAGGGCGCCGTGCTGATGGTCATGACGCCCCTGCTCAGGGCTCCATGCCCCTTGCGTGAACAAAACAGAGTCTCCCTTGTTTTCCCCTTCACAAACCCTCACTTTTCCCCTTCTCCACCCCGGCCGCCCCACTCAAGCCCCTACCTAATGCCCACAAAATTTCGTGGATCGGAACTCCAAATCGGTGATTTATCCTTCCCTTCGACCCCTCAAGGTATTCTCCATCATTCCTCCTCTTTTTGTTGGTTGAAATCTCCACATTGTGGGGATTTGGGGAAACCCTAGGTCATCCAATTTTGCTATTTTTGTTGATGCATTTTGGTGTTTATGATTCTAGATGGCGAGGATCGTCAATGTGCATCATGTGGACTTTGTCTCCTTTGAGAAGGGAGATGCGGAGTATGGTGACCCGAAGAAGAAGCCGGTAGTGATTGTGTTTCCCACAAGACCTAGCCTTGAGGAGGTTTTGGTTGAGCTTCGAAGAAGGTTGAATTGGATGGAAGAAAGCGATAGAGTAGACTTAATCGTAAGGTATAATGTTGGGTATGGGCAACATATTCGTTGGAAGATAATGCCTCTTGACTCCGAGTTTCATTGGGAATCATATAAAGAGAGTGTGTAGGCCTCACAAGATAAATCATTTGAGTTATTTGCCACAAAGATTGTTCGTGCTCAGCTGCACATTGATTTGAATCGGTGTGCATCTTCATATGATGTTAGAAGCCCGGTTCGAGATTCAACACATGTCACTCCGGATGTGCACACACAACAATGAGCCAACCTCCAATGACCCAATGTTTGAGCCCCGACGGGAATGACCAAGTTGATAATGAAGACTTGCACATGGATGGTGGTGAGTTTGAGGGTGATGAATCGGAGGCTTATCTTCATGACCATTATGTTGGTGATGTTGAGGCAAATTGCATGGAAGAGGACATGGACCATGAGATTCCATACGATAGTCCTATGCATGGGACTCGGAGGATCAAGGCCCGGATGAAGAAATAGATGAGGATGGTTTGACGGCTAAAGAAGCCAATGCTTTCAAGAAGGTAATAGGCCGTAGTCACAAGACATCATTGTTTCGTGATCTAAGCCTAGCCGATAAGGCGATTGTTGATGGTGGCACAAGTAAAATTCTTGCACCAAGGTTAACTTCAAAGCGAGATACCAAAGCAAGTGTGTATGGTGTTAGTGAAGGAACAATCTTTGAAAGCTTGACAGAACTTCAAATATGGGCCAAGGACTACGCGGTTAAGTTTCATCAGCCATTCATTGTGGAGAAGTTAAACTCAAAAGTGTGTTATGTGGTCAAATGTGAGGAACATCAGAGAGCGAAAATTTGGGTCCTTAGTCGTTTCTGCAGCTAACATGCATGGTGCCCTGACCCAGGGCGTCATGTGAGTATGCACAACGCCCTACCATGGGGCGCCATACATGGCGCGCCGACTTAATTAGCATGACGCCCTGAACATCAGAGAGCAAAAATTTTGGTCCTTAGCCGTTTCTGCAGCCAACAGGCATGGCGCCTTGCCCCAGGGCGTCATGTTGTCAACAGGCATGGCGCCTTGCCACAGGGCGTCATGCTGTCAACAGGCATGGCGCCCTACCCTGGGGCGTCATGCTGTCAACTAGCTACTTGCTGATGCTGCTGTTGGCTATTTGGTGAGTACTGCTGCTGCTGTTGCTGGAGTTTTGTTGATGCTTCAAGAACATTAAGTGGAAGAGAACCATCACAAATGCATCAAGTCTCATACATAGTTCAAGACAAAGTTTCATACATAGTTCACCACAAATGCATCAAGTATCATACATAGTTCACCACAAATGCATCAAGTTTCCTACATAGTTCAAGACAAATGCATCATTTCCTTCCTTTCCCCCTCTTAGCCGGTGCAACATCCTTCCCCTTCACTAAGAGCCTTCTCCTCTGCAGCGGCACCTCCACCTTCTCCTCCTCTGAAGCGGCCTTGATCACCGGAGCCTTACGTGCCTTCCTATCGTATTTGTGCGGAGTATACTTTCCACGCCTTTGACTAGGCTGGGGTGCATCGGGCATCTGCGAGGTGTTGATCTCATCATGCGTCTGTTCATCGCCCTCCTCCCCCTCGCCATCAACCGAGTCGTCGAGTGGGTGTTCTGTGGCACTTGATGATGATCTCGACCTCGACGTAGAAGGCATGGCGACATCGATGGAGCGGCAGCCTAGTAGAGCACCCATGCCACGTGCCCGAGACTTGCTCCGCTGTGAAATCAACATATCAAAGTAAGGAGATAAACATTAACAAGTGTGTATGGAAATCAATTTACGAAGCGTCATACCTCAACAAAAGCTTTTAGCTTGTTGTACGCCTCATCACCTGAAGGGTACTTGAATGTCTTGCTAGCGTCGTTCACATGCTTCGAGAACTCGGATTGCTGTTCAAAAAGACAAAATAAATCATGTTCGGTTCAATGTTTCTTATGGTTCCAACTAGAGATAGTGGTAACTTACCACAAAGCAGACAACGGGCGCCGATTCATACCATCTACCATCTCTTGTAAGTTTGTTGTACTGCATGTTGGCCATCCGGTCGAACCCTGGATTGGATTCATGCAATATGTCATTTGGATCAAATGCCGGCGGGTTTATATGAGTACGAGTAACAGAACAAAACCACACGAGATAGTGGTTGAATGCTTCCGTATCGAAAGCCTGCGGGGGAGGCTTAGAAGTACGTTCACGCAATGAGAGCTCAATATTATTGATCTTGTGCTTGAACTCCTGGATATACATGTCATGCTCACGATTCCACTTCTTTATACTCTTCTGCTTCATCTTGTCCAAGCTGCTTATTCAAATTCATCATGTTCGTTAGTAGCATGAAACAATGAAAAGAATACCTTCAAGTAGTATTAAGCATTTACCTATGTAGATGTATCGAAGTGTCCTTGTCCTATGGCGGGGTCTCATGATATAAGCCAAACTGTGTCATAACCCGCTGTGGCTGATGAAACTCAACGACATAGTAACAAATAATGGGCAACGCATCCGCCATAGGTTTGCTTCTTCATAACACTTTCGGTTCAATCTGAAAGTGAGACTTCTGTCAATACTACCTGCCGTTCTGTATGGCTCCCAGGTCACCTGTAGCGTCAAATAATAAAATAGATGCTGTCGGATTTTGGGTTCCGGCAGACTCTCAAGGTTCGAACTCTGGGGTGCACGCGGAGATCACACCCCCTGCCTACCCATGTCTCGTCGCCTCGCAAGGATCTAAACTACACAAAGAACAACACAAGGGACACGAGATTTATACTGGTTCAGGCCACCATTGTGGTGTAATACCCTACTCCAGTGTGTGGTGCGGTGGATTGCCTCGGGGCTGTTGATGAATAGTACAAGGGAAGAACAGCCTTGCGAGGGTCTGTTCTTGGCTGGTGCGATGAACTACTGGGGGAGTTCAGTCGCCTCTCTCTATATATATATCAAAATGCCTCTCGATGGCTAGATCGCTAGATGCCGATCCCTCTGGGTGGCTAGTCCTATTTATAGGCGGAGGCCCTGGGCCTCT